AAACAGTAGAAATCTATTTAAAAGTAGTGATGATCTCCGATTTGTCACGCTCTCAACTTGTACCTATAATAATGTACACGTATTTCGAGTGTTGGTGTCAAAATCATGATCAATAACTCATATTTTTTTTTCTTATTCACGCTCATTACAAGTAATAACTATTACATATATGATACAAAAATGAGATATATAATTTCTTTTCTATTTAATTGCTTTCTTGCTTGCTGTTTATTAAGATGAATAATATAATACATATAAAAAACGAAAAAATAATTTTATGCATGAAGTAAGCGTATAAAGAGACAAATAATTGGACAACGTTTGCTCTTTACATATTCGTTTCATTACTTATTTTCATTTAAATTCATAACAAATATATTTGAGTGTTTTGTTTCAACTTTGATTGTGTTTGGATATTATTTCACAGTAAGTACCACTACGCTATTTCTATTTAGTAGGGATGCTATATTACTTTTAACTGGTAATTACATAAGTTTAGTTGTTTTATTAATCCTAGAGTATCCATTCTTTCTCACTAGCTTATTTTTGATTAATTTTTGTATTAGTTTATTATTAGCTTCTTTTAAACATCATTGATCAACTTAATATAATATAAGATCTCTATTTGCATAGTCCGAAATAGAACAATATCAGATTTTAGCTGGAATTTCACTGATCAACAGAAACTTTTAAACTTTAAGTCTCAAACTCACTTTTCTTGACCACTCGATTTTAAGATAGAAATTCATTTCAGATTTTTCTCAATTTCAGGACAACAAACTTTCGACGAGTTGAAAAATATCGATTTTATGATGCTAGAAAGTTGTAAAAGGTAAATTGTGAATATCTCTGATGAATTTTGTTGTCTTCTACCATTTATATAGGTGTTCCAAATGCTGCCTCTTGGTACTGTTGCTTCTGATTATTGGATGCATAGTTTGTGTTGCACTCATTCCTACATATTTGTCGACATCTAATGTCAGCACTACCAACACAACAGCCTCCATTAGTTAGTATTTATTGATTGTTTTTATTAGATACATATACGTATTCTTTACTAGTAAAATCACTTCATGCGTTAACTGTTTCTTACATGTTACCATCTGGATACGTAACAAAGCGCGGCACGCAGTCCGTCACAAACCGTACAGCAAACGCCAAATGCGTAATTTTTGTCTTTTATCTTAATTCATAATATGTAATACATTTTAGTTGGAACAAGCAACTGGTTCTCCCACTGGTTCTCTCAATCTCACTGGCATCAGCAGTTCAGGAGCAAACGGGACCAAAAACAGCACCACCGGTCGACGTCGCCGCAAGTAATTTTAATTCGTCTCTAATAACTATGTTTACCTATCACTTTACATATAGCATTCAATGCGATAAAACAGATCGCTCAGGTATTGCTATAGTCTTTGACATCGTATTGAACTATCCAAGCAATTTACAATATCACACGCTGAACCGTGAAATGAACCTATTTATCTGGATCCATGAAAAGTTGAATGCTGTAAATAATCTTAATATTGTGGCGGATGATGGAACCTACATACCTGTGGAACTTTGTTACGTTCAATCTCATCCAAATGGCAACTTCGATAATGAGAATAATGCTAATGGTATTGTCGTCGGTAAGCAGATTATTTGTTCTAATGCATAAGAATAATTATTAATTATAACTATTTGAGTTGATGACACAATATAAATATTATTATTGACATGTTATATAGATTTTAATAAATGAAATCAATATAGTCGTCAGAGAATTGACTCGGTTCCTCGGCTATTTTGCAGAAAATCAAATGTATGCTACACGATTTGTGGAAGAAACTATCTATTATTGTATTAACTATGACAATAAACAACTTTACTATATTTTTGAACAATGATTGATAATAGCTATTTCATAAGTTTTACTATTTGTAAAAACTATCAGTTTCTCGAAAATTTTCATAGAATGATATTATTTGAGCGAATGTACAAGATTCAAAAAGATGTTAGCACTGAATTCATGCTGTGTTAACTGATTTGTTTCAGCTATTGTACTCGAAACATAGTTATTATAGAAAAAGTCAGGCAAAAAAATCTATACAAACTATTCAAAGCCAGATATATTGTTAATAGATAGAGAAGCTGCGAGTTGTAAAGAAAAACTCATTCAATCTTCTTATTTCATATAGAACCAACAGCAACAACGACCGCAACTACAGAAACAACCACATCAACTTCTACGTCAACAACGACAACGACAACAACAACAACTACTACTACTACAACAACTACAACAACAGTAGTATTGGGTAAGGAATCGACTACATGACAAATATTTCTCATCAGTGTTCTGAGTAGAATCGATTATATAAAACTTAAAAAAATTATGTTTCAGACAGAACTGATGGTAGAAAAAAAGCAGTTACAATGAAGTATGGAAAAAGAAAACTACTTTCGCATACAAAAAAATAAATCCTGTTTTACATTTTGATCATGCACAGAGTACCTTTATAGATGTGAGTGTAGCTGTAAGTAATGGATGAATCTTACCAAGTATCATTCACACTCTGTCCCTTGATATAAGTAAAAGGTGATTGTTATCGACTTGGCCTAATCGTCTGAGCTGTATTGATTTTCCACCTTAGAAATTTCGGTCATAGCTGGAAGTGGTCCTGTTGGTTAGCTTCTAAAGACTTTGTTAGATCACGCCACGTAGACGAATATTCTAACTATGAATAGATGCACTTTATCATGTCCAAAAACCTAGGAAACTATAGATTTTAACATATCGATTTTCTACATATATATTAAATAATGAAATTTCATTGTATTTAAATCTTTATACTTCAGGATAAACAACCTTATTTTTGTAGAAATCATTGGTGCGCTTCTCCACGAGTTCTGCAATTTGTTTGTAGTGAATATTTGAGAGTATGTACGTGGTTATGATAACTGAACATCCCTCTGTATTCTTACACCTAATATACGATCTGTGTTAAGTGTACAATATTCAAGTACAAGATTAATTTGCTAGGATGTTGAATCTTATCGAATGTACTTCAAATGTTACTTTGAATTACTTGAAATTTTGCTTATTTTATAGTAAATAAAATATATATTCTTCACGTTTATATGTTTCGTTTAGTATGGCAAGCTACAGGAAGCATGACTGATGCGAGAGACTATCATACTGCGTCTAAATTAACAAATGAAAAAGTACTAGTTACAGGTGGAGAAGCTAATAGCGCCGTTTTAAATAGTGCTGAGCTATATGACCCATCAACAGGTAACTGGACAACTATTAGTCCCATGAGTAGTGCACGAAAACTTCACACAGCAACCATATTAACAAATGGAAGTGTGCTAATTAGCGCTGGGTATACTGGTAGTGGCTTTTCAGATAGTGCTGAATTATATAACCCAATATCAGGCACTTGGACATCTACAGAAAATATGAATGCTGTACGAGGCGCTCATATCGCAGTCAAGCTAGCAAATGAAAAAGTATTAGTTAGTGGTGGTGATGGTGGTAGTGGTTATTTAAACACTGCTGACTTGTATGATCCCATAGCAAATACTTGGACAGCAGTTAGTCAGATGAATTCTATACGTTGTGATCATGTAGCATCTATATTATCAAATGGTAACGTCTTTGTTGCTGGTGGATCTAATGGTACTGATCTAGCGAGTGCTGAAATATACAATCCCACAACAGACACTTGGACAAATACAGGTAGCATGAGTGTTGCTCGATACTCACCTACAGTATCGGTATTATTAAATGGAAAAATACTAGTTGCTGGTGGAAATCATGGTGGTAGTTTTTCGAACGTTGCTGATTTGTATGATACATCGACTGGCACTTGGGCAGTTACAGGTAGTATGAATTGTGCAAGATTTGGTCATGCAGCAGCTGTTTTATCAAATGGAAATGTATTAGTTACGGGTGGATGCGCTGCTAATAGTATTGCTGAAATATATGATGCATCAATAGGAACTTGGACAGTCACAGGAAATATGATGGCTTTCCGCCAATATCACACAATATCCCAATTAACAAATGGAACAGTATTAGTTGCTGGTGGTATTTATAGCACTAGTACTTATTTAAACAGTGCAGAATTATATTAAGCATCATATGCATGACAATATTTTCTTTTATCAAGTTAAAACTATTTATTCATAAATGCTTTATTAAAACTATCATTAATCATATTTTATAGTTGCTTAATAAAATCGTAACTTCTGAAAGAAAGAGATACTTTTTAATGAAATCTAGTTATTTAAACAATGTGTAGCTAATTAAAAGTCATTTGAATTCATTTAAACATTTTCTCATACATACAAGAGAAGAAAGCGGAAAAAGGTTTTACGACTTAAATGGTCACAATGATCAGTTGTTTTCTATTTTATCGATCGATGTTTTAAATTTTATACTATACAATTGATAACAATAAAAACGCATTAAAATATTAACAATTTAAATATTTGAACATTAGGAAATAATCAAGCATTAAACATTTGCTTTTTTTCTATTACAAATATGATGGTTTATCACATTATTCAATCAATCTCACACAATATACTAATGAAAAATAGTTATTTGTCACAGAATGATGATGAATATTGATTTATTTTTATTTTACATTGTATTAAGATTTTATATCGAATGAAATGACAAAAAAAGATGGAAAATGATTTTTATATTGTGATCTACTAAAAATTAATTCGTAGTAAAAAGGAATTTATGAAACCTATTGCTATGTAAAGTTAAATAAATCAAGATTTAAGAAAATAAAGAGAGAACTGCTGCAAAGATCATTTTAAACTAATATTGTTATTTCAGTCAGAAATAAAAGAGGGGGATTCGAGCTTTCCTGTTCGAACTGAACACATCATCAGGAATGACATTGTGAAATTTATTTGAATTTAATGAAATTAAATTTACAAAAATATAATACGATATTAGAAGGTAAAATGAAATTATATGATTATTAATTATATCGTTATTATTTATGATCGTTGTTGTTGTTATTTATAATGTTATCATTGTAGTTGTTGTTGTAATTATACTATTACTCATTATTATTATAAGTTATGAAAGAAAAAGAAAAAGAAAAAGAAAAAGAAGCAAAATATTAAAGTAAGAGAAATCGTTAAACTTAAGATATTAGTATCAACAATTAAAATAAAAACGAAAAAGAACATGAATTATATTTGTTAAGTAGCTCATTATATTTTATGTAGACGATGTCGACCCTGGTGGTAAGGTGGAGCATTTCTCATAACATAAAACATAATAAGTTGAATATTAGAAAGTAACAAGTATAAGACTAGTAAATTAGATAGATAAATGAATGAAGCTGACTTATATTTGTAAATAACTTATTTTATATTATGTGGAGGATGTCGACCTTGAGTTGGAGCGCTCCTCACAATATAAGATAAAATAAGATAATTTAAATTAAAATTAAAAATAAATGTAAGACAGATAAGAATGAATAAGAGTGCGAATTATATTTTTGTTAAATGACAAGGGTGTGGGTGTGGGTGTGGGTCAGTGGCGTAGCCAGGGGGGGGGCAAATGGGCAATTGCCCATTGCATTTGGAGATTTGCCCATTGTAATTTTTAATAATTAGCCTTTGCCCATTGAAATTTTACTTCTTCATACTTTTTAAAAACTATTAAGAGATTTCGAAAAATTTTGAACAAATTTTCGAAAATGTCTTTAAAAATTTCTAGAAATCTTCGCAAAAATTTCGATAATTTATATAAATTTTGGAAAAGTTTTCAAAAAAGTCGTTAAAAACTCACAAAAATCGTCCAAAATTTTTAAAATTTCGATAGTTTATAGAAGTTTCTGAGAACTTTTTGAGAAATTTTTCGACTGCCTCGAATATTTAACACTTCACGACAACCCTTTATGTTGAAATTATATACACAAATAAGTTCTCGTCAGTCTGATCGTGATGTTTGAGTTTGAAACATAAATGTTATAAACAAAGTTATTAAGAGAGTTAAAATGCACTTAACTTGGGCTTAAGATCTGAGTCTAAGTTTAATGCATGTTCTTAATTATAAGACTCTCATTTCCTTCTTTTTCTGCTTTTTATACGTTGTCAGTACTTTACTCAGCTAAAAATTTTTGGCCCATCAATAAAAATCTTGCCCATTTTGCCCATCGAATTTTCGAGTTACTAGAAGTTTGCCCATTGGTCTAAAAATCCTGGCTACGCCACTGGTGTGGGTGATAGATCCCGGAAAAATAGGAATGACTAGGAATTCCTGCATCCCCTACTGATTCCGGATATGCACGAATTACGGAATTCCGCTTTGCAATCGAATCATCCATCTTAAAATTATCTTCTCCTGATTTCTTGTATCTTTCGAATTCCGGAATAGGCAGGAATGGCTGAGAATTGCATGTTGTACTATAGGTTGTAAAGTAAGTGCAATGCAGGAATTTCTGGTTGTGGCTCGTATTCGTAATAAAAGAATCGTTATGAATATTCTGGAATTGTTGGTTAGAGATTCATGGTTGGACGGCAGTGCAGTAATGTGTAACTTTTGGGAATAAGAAGCATTCTCATTTACATTGGATTGTATAAGTAATTCAATAGCATTTCCCTTGATAATCTTTAGCATATGTTACAGAATTTATTTCCTTATATAAAATGGATTTGTGATAAAAAAATTGAAAAAGAAAATCATAGTGAAAAACGACAAGCGATGTATATACAATTCATTGTGATCGACGAACAACACGTAGCCAAACACCAATTTTGGTATTTATGATTTCAAACTTTCCTAATTGTAATGGAACCTAGAGATCAAATTAATGATACAATGATAATACTAAGAAAATCATCACTTACTGCTGTTTTTTCACATTTTTGAAACTCCACAGCACGAAGTGCTTTGACTATTCCAAGTTTAGCCTCTAATAATGCAAATCGCATTCCAATACAATTCCTTTTAAAAGGAAAATTCAATTTTCAGATCAATAATATAGATTATTTTCTTACCGAGGCCCATCGCCAAAAGGAAGATATGTCATCGGATGACGTTTAGCTTTTTCACTTGGTAAAAATCTATTAAAACAATATCAATATACATAACAATATCTAATGGTTTGAAATTTTACCTTTCAGGTATGAATTTTTCTGGATCAGGCCAAACATCAGGATCATGATGAATAGGATAAACAGATACATTGACAATAGTACCTTTTGGTATCTGATAATCACCAAGTTGATAATCACATGCCGCAATACGATCAAATCTATTGTAGAAAACATAAAATTATCAATGAAGAGAAACATTAACAGCGCACACTAACCTGATACCTGGTGGATATCTACGAAGTGTTTCACTAATAACCATATCTAAATATTGAAGTTGATTGAGTTTTTCATGAGTAACTTCATCCTACATAACACTATTAAGCATGATTATTCCCTAACAAAAATCTGACTTACATCTCCAATTTCTTGTCGAATTTCCTCATAAACCTTTTCTTGAATGACTGGTTCTGTTGCCATAATATAGAAAAAGCATGACATTAATATACTTGTTGTTTCATAACCAGCAAGTAAAAATACAACTGCCTGGCTAAGTATTTCTTTATCATTCAAAGCTAAAATCAAATACTAAATGAACAGACAAATATACGCTTCATTCCTACTTTTTTTAAGTGTTCCCCATTGTTGTTGTTGTTGTTGTTCTTTTTTATCTGTTTGTTGATTTGTTTGATTCTCTTCATGATTAACTTCTTCTTCATGATCAATCATCATTTGAATAAAATCATTTCGTCTTTCTAAATGTTGTCGACGTCGTGCTAATATTTGATTGAGAAGATTAGTTGTATAATCAACAGCATCTTTAGGGAACATTGAATAACCTTTCTTTCCAAAATACATCGCCAATCGCGGTGAAATAACTATTTTAGAAATAAAGAAAAAGTAAGAACGGTCATTTTCGTTGAAAAATACTTACAATATATAATGAGAATTATATTGGATAGACCTCGATTGAAAAATTTTTTTAAATAATTAATTAAAGTAACATTTTCATTCTGTAAAGAATTTGTTTCAACTCCAAATAGACAAGAAGCAATATTATCAAGAGTAAATAGACTATTTAATCTATTATAAATACAAGAATTAAACTTCAATAAATTATATTAAGCAAGAGATAGATATACGCTTTCATATCAATTATTTCTTGTTTATCAGCATATTCAAGAAAACGTTTACAATATGTGTCACTAATTTCATTCATAAGACTATACATCTAAAGAGAATAATTCATAAAATCAAATCGTTTCTGTTTAGTAATATTTACTGCTTTGAGTTTTGCTGTAGAGAATGTTGGTGAAACAATAGATCGAGCATTTTTCCATTGTTCATCTTTCAATGCTAGAAGACCATGATCCAAAGGACCTGATATACCTTCGAAAGCCTATGAAGAAAAATAAAAAAAAAAATAGAAAATGATTTTGTATCCTACTCTTCGGTTGATAAACATGTTTGAATCTTTAATGAGAACATTTCGAAGAAGATCCGGATCAGAGAGAAGAATATTTGGATTTTTTCCTCCGACAATTCTAGAAAAAAAAATACAATTATTCAAGGAAATGACTATGTGCACTTAGACAATCATAAAAAATATTTAGCAAAGATAAAGTTAGATCAGTCTTATATGTACTTGATTTTTAACATATATGAAATACCTTAAAGGGACTCCCTCCCTTTTCCCAAACCAAAAAATTTTTTTTTTGAATTTTTTTGAATTTAATATAAAGGCGTATCAAAGTCTCCTCTAAGTGTGCTATACAATCAGAGTCCCCAAAAGTTTGGAAGTCTCTGAAAGCCCAGGTTTTTTGGAGACCTGTGAAAAAAAAAACTTTTTCTTTAGTTTTTGTGTTTTTAATTCGAATGAGGTTTCATCGGACTGTTTGGTTCGATTTTCTAATTAACTAATAATTATTAATTAGTTGGTTAATAATTAATTAACTCTGACATCAAATTCGGATTCTCCACCTTCGAATACATCTTTTTCAATATTATAAAAATCGGCTTCACTAATTAATGACTAGTTAGAGTCTAGTTAATAATTAATTAAAACTGACTTCAGATTTAGATTCTCTATGCCAGACTACCTTTTGTAGCACAAAATTAGTAAAAAAACTAAGGTATAAGTGAAAATAAGTCAAGGATGGATGTGGGTGTGGAGTCAGAAACAGAACTAGCATGTCATCCATACTACACGCACACCCTTAAATCGGTTGATATTTATCTAAATTAAAATTTGTTTTATATTTATGCAATTGTAATATTTGATTTATACATTTTTTTGAATATAGTAAGAAATTAATAATGTTAAATTACTATTAAGTTAAGGCATTTCATATATGTCAAAAATCAAGTACATATAAGACTGATCTAATTTTATCTTTGCTAAATATTTTTTATGACTGTCTGAGTGTCCATAGCCACTTCCATTGTTCAATGCAGAAATATTGATTGAATCAAGCATAAGACTGAAAGTTCTCTTTATATTTATACAGAATGAACTCTCACTTACCCAATAATTTTGCCGTATTTTTGAACAAGATCTATGTCATTTTGAATAAGACCCTTAATAAAAAGAACTTTGAACTGTAAATATAATAAGATAAAATGAGAAAGTTTATTACCTTGCGTATAATATTATAAGCCTCGCCAATAAATGGAATGGGTTCTGGGCCAGGCATTCCAAGACGACGAAATATATTATTCCTGCGCAAATTGTAACTAAAATTTGGGTCATTAAATTTTTATTTCGAATTAATAATTGAGTTGAGAAGAGTACTCACATATAATAAGCAATGATGAGTATGAATAAAACCAACAATGTCAGTGTTATTGAATCACTGATTAGAAAGTAGATCATTTTTATGTTAGTTATCTATTATTAAAAAAAAGCACAAAAAGGTGTTTATAAATGACGATCCTATTTTTAAGAAATTTGCTCTATGAAAACGTGGTTGCTTTTTTTGAGACTTTTATATTCCTTCAATATCAAAACAATTTGTCATTATCTTTACGTCATTTTTGGCCACGTTTCTTATTATGATAACATTTTTGATGACATAGTGAGTTTTGTGACTCACAACAATTCGGTTGGTTGAGAGGGATAAGCTACATAGACTTTTACATATATACACTTTTTTACTATTGCACAAAATTTATCCACGTGAAACCTTTGTGACAAAAAAGATGGCGTTCGTTATCGATCTATAGGGGTTTACAAAAGTGGGGGTGAGGGCTACATTGCAAGAATATCTTTATCTTCACTCTAGTGTCCTTTCACTATGTCATGTATTGAAACGTTGTTTTTTTAAATTCTCAATAATAACTGGATCCTTCGGATGGTGTGGGTGTGGATATCTCGTCCTGATAGCAACCCACACGTACATCCTTGAAATAGAGTTCGATAGTATTTCACCAGATGGACAAAAATCTTGATTTGATAAATTTTGTATTTGAACAACACATCCATCTATAAGTAAAAGCAAGATAATTAATGCAATGAATGTTAATTAAACAATAAAATATAGATGAAAACATCGTAAAAACAAGAAATCAATATTAACATCAAAGACATTTATGATTAACTTCGATGATCTAATCGAATAATTTCAACTAATTCTGCTAGTAATCAATTCGATAAAGAAATAACACATCGTAACTTCCAAATATGATTGTTCTATAGTGATGGAATTCCATTAATATTGTTGATAATGATCTTATTCATCTATGAAAAAATGATTGACATCAGTGAATGATAAAGAAGTATACGAAGAAATAGAAGCTGAAGAGTCATATATCTAATAACTCATTCAGAGAGTATTAGAGATAACAAGAACAAATTCGAATAAATCTAAAAAAAAATACTGCTATAACTGACAGTATTAAGTAATATTTCGGCCTTGTCCTATCAGATAGAAAAATGATTAGTAACACTTCATTGTTGATCGTTTAGAGTATTGAGTCTAGATGGATATTTGCTTCTTAAATTTCTTTCTTTCAGTCAAATATAATACCTCTTGTTGGCAATCATTAATCAAATAACCAAATTATACAATGTTTTTGCATTTCATTAATACAGTACATTATTCTTCTGTCGAATTGTCAAAAAATTTTCAAGAGAATATCAGATGTATGCACATAATGATCATTAGCAAATTTCATTATAAAGAAGAAAAAATAAAGAGATAACTGTTGTGAATAACAATTTATTATATTTTAAACAGAATTAATAACAACATTTGAACTTTTGTGTTCTATTCTGAACATATCGTCAAGAATAAAATATGGAAAAATTAAAAGTAAAAATACAAGAAATTAGAGATTCATTTAATTGTTTGTGTTTATAATCTTGTAATGATCAAGACGACATGTCCTGTCCACATTTCATTCGTGATTCAAGTCAGTTATGTTCATAACGCGACATCTTCTTGAGTCCTTGATTAGATAAATAAAACGTGCGATTATATTAGTTGTTGATATCGTACAGTATAGAGCGGTGTCATCAGTTCATAATAATAATATTCTTCACAATGTGTATATATATATAGAAACTAGTGACACATAAATACAGAAACAAAGAAATAAAAGATAAGCAATGAAGCACACGAACAAATTCAAAACAACATAAATTCTTAAAGATCACTGTCTTCATTTAGTTGCATAATTATGTATCATCCTAACCGAATATAAGTACCCGCATTTGTATCGAACTGAAGTGTTGTATTATATGCCACTGCAAATGCTTGATCTACTGAATAAGTCATGCTTGGTCCTGATGATGATTCTATAATTAAATAAAGAAAATCGTTAATACGAAGTAGTTGCTGCAACATTATTTAATGACAATTAATAACGTTTCTCCACCATCTGCACTAATCATTTTATTACGCTATCAGCTAAAACTCTTGACAAATTCACAATCCACAATCCACTAAATAATCCTCGAGAAGCCTCAAAATCTAAGAATATATTTGGAATATTTTATTATTCAGTAGGAGTCATTTTTAATTCACATCTACAATGATCTCTATTCAGCATTCGTCACAGTTTTTGATGTTATATTAGTCACAATACGAGGGAAGGTGAGGAGATCCAAAATACTATAATATAAACTCCAGCACTCAGTTTACATTATGTTTTATAATAATTTAGATCAACAAGAGAACGAAAGAAAAAAGAAAAAATATCTTACGTTGTACACCAATAGTTGCGAAATTACCTCCATCAGATACTTCCAAATAAACATATTCAACAATATTTGGTAAGTTTTCATAAAATAGTATTAGAAAATGATAATAATTTGATGGGTAAGCAGAACTACTTGTATAGAATTCAAAACCTGTTATTCGATTAGGTGCTATTCCACTGGTTGAATAATAAACCATTTGACCAGTACCAGCATAAATCGCCAAATCATACCAGAAAACAAATGCTGTTGGACCCCCAACAAGTGCAGTTGGAAGATTTTCATTTGCAAAAGCATAAGTACAATAACCAAGGCAGAGAAGCTAAAATATATTTTATTTATTACAAAATTATGTTCAAAAAATAACTTACCCCATTACTTGATACAGTAACTAAACTAGTACTATAATTATAGAGTGTAACATTCACTGGAAGGCTAACTTGCTGTATATCATCGTCGATAGTTGTACCAACCCAGGCAGGTATAGCAGTTGCTCCACTAAGTTGTATAGTAGGTGCTGTCTTACATACACCAGCTGAACATATTCTATATTTTGATGAACAGACAAAGCCAACTGATCCACAATTATAAAGATTACTTAGTATATCGACACACTTTGCAGTTTGTGTTGCAGAGTAGCCAGTAGGACAACTTACAGTTGCTAAAATCATAGATATATTTATTAAACAGTTTGAAGAGAATGTGAGTGATATATCGACCTCTCAATCATACGATACACCCATATCCTCACTCTGGAGAGACGAGGCGATGGTATGCATGGATAAAGTTGAGGATATAGATGAGAGTTTGACATATGACTTACACTCACATCCCCCGAAGACAGTCTATATAATTATTAAACTATTCTATTAACTTACTGGTTGTAGTTGTTGTGGTTGTTGATGTCGAAGTTGTTGATGTCGTGGATGTGGATGTTGTTGACGTTGTCGTAGTCGATGTTGTTGTTGATGTTGTTGTTGACGTCGAGGTTGTGGATGTTGTTGACGTCGAGGTTGTGGATGTTGTTGACGTTGTTGTAGTCGAAGTTGTTGTTGATGTTGATGTTGTGGATGTTGTTGTTGAAGTCGAGGTTGTGGATGTCGATGTCGTAGAGGTTGAGGTCGTGGATGTGGATGTTGTTGACGTTGTTGTGGTCGAAGTTGTCGTTGAAGTTGTAGTTGTGGATGTTGTTGTTGAAGTAGAAGTTGTGGACGTCGAAGTCGAAGAGGTTGTTGTGGATGTTGTTGTTGAAGTCGATGTCGTGGATGTGGATGTTGAAGTCGTAGAGGTTGATGTAGTTGAAGTTGATGTTGTAGAGGTTGATGTTGTTGTTGATGTCGTGGATGTTGTTGTTGAAGTTGTGGTTGTGGATGTCGATGTCGTAGAAGTGGTTGATG